AGAGAACGATCTGTCACTGGTTGGGGGGTGCTAGAGTGCCAGGGACATGTCCACTGCTCGTGATGCTCGGGCTGCCTTCACTGTCAGCGGATGCCACCGCAGCCTTCGCTTTGGGCTCCTTGGCTTGTAGCAATGCAAAACTGACAAAAACCCGGGAATCCGGATCTCTTCACGCTTCACCACACTGCCGCAAACCCAACAACACCACAAAGGAGAACCAAGCCTAAACACTACCCGCAAAGAAGCCTTCTACATACCTGTACATGATGCAGTGCCTGAGCCCCTTGCCCCCCAACCACCCCCCCCCTGGTATCCCCCACTGCTGTGGCATATCGAACACGCAAACCCAGCATGCTCATGGCCAACTGCGCCTGTGTGCTGGGCTGCAATCGACCCAGCTACAGCTACAAGTAGACGCAGCAAGGCACGGCCGCTTTGGGCACGGACTCCTCGAAGTCGAAGTCATCCCAGCCCTGGCCTGATTGTTTTTCCAACTCTTGACAAGCTGTCAACACGCTGGGAGTTTGCGCACATCGTTGATAATATCACAACATTAAAGACATTTAAAGACGCAGTAGTATCAATTGCGCGTGCCGGAATGAAATGCCATCAAATGCCTGCAGAGAACGATCTAGCACTGGTTGGGGGGTGCTAGAGTGCCGGGGACATGTCCACTGCTCGTGATGCTCGGGCTGCCTTCACTGTCAGCGGATGCCACCGCAGCCTTCGCTTTGGGCTCCTTGGCGTGCGGCAACTTCTGTGGCTGAACAGCAACATGAATAGATGAGGTTCCCGGATGTCCCGGATAGAAGTCTGGGCACGGGCTCTTCTTTGAAGGTCTGGGCAGGCTCATGTTTCCTGATTTCGCACCTTGCTTGCCATGGAGAGGTGTGTTTTCGAAGGACTTTCGGATAGCTGGGCCTGGCCTGCAACGCAAGCTTGGTAAGATGTCTTGGTAAGATGTCATGTCACTACGGTTCACCAATGGTCTCGGTGCTGATGTGCGAGCTACGTCGACCCACCAGCCTGCATACAAAATGGTCAATCCCAAATTCGGCTAGGGCACGGCTGCTTTCGGCACGGACTCGTCTAAGTCGAAGCCGTCCCAGGCGTGGTCTGGTTGTCAGAAGATCTATACCACCCAACAAGCACAGCATGTGCCAATTCTGCGAACTTCCACAATGAACCGCCCCCCCCTTCAAACTCCAAGATTAGCCAGTGACAGGGTACTGCCAAATTCCGCAGTTTTCTGGTCTGCCTCCACTCTCGAGAGGAGTTGCCTTTGTCGCAGGTTCCTTGGCTGAGATCAACTGCCTTTGATAGTCGTACTTTGGATGCCTGCAACTGCATCTGTTGGGAAGCATCCAAAGCATTGACGTGCCCTTTGATGTAGCTAAGCACAGCCGCTTTCGGGACAGACTCCTCAAAGTCGAAGTCATCCCATCCCTGCCCTGCGCAAACAAGCATCAATACAAAGGCCAGGGATGGTACATGAGCCTCGGATAAACAAGGAGGCAACATGAGAAAACCAAGTCGAGCCCTCGGGGTCGCCTGCTGAGGTCGCTTGCGGCATGCTTTTGACCGGCTCCTGGGAAGATGGGACGCTGACGAAGGTTTCGCTGCTGCGATGATCCGCTGTTGTCAGGCATTCTCAATTCTGACAGCTAGATTGCAGCTACATTGTCTGAACGCACCTCCTCCGGGCTGACCTTCTGGCAACTGCGTAACTTGGTCACCTGGACGGCCGAGGCAAAACTGATGGGCTCAATGCTTGCACTCGAAACAAAGCCCCAAACGGACGGTTACTTGAGTCGTAAGCCCCTACCCCGACCACCACCAGGACCAGCACCACCAGAGCCGAAAAGGTGTGGACAGGCCAGTGCTTGCGACGAGACACTTCGCCGAAAATTGCAGTTGACAATAGCGCATCCCTGAAGATTCAAAAAGCGCTGCAGCAGAACTGCGGAGACAATGAGGGTTTACCCCAAACTGCTACCGCTACTGCTTGACGAGATGACGACGACGACGACGGCTACTGCTGCTACTGCTACGGCTACTGCTACTACTGGTCCCAGGACGACGACGACTACTACTGTTCCAACCACGAATTTTCGCAAAGATTTGCATGTATGTCAGGACTCCCATACGGCTATGCGCCTTAACCTATGCCTATGCGCATAGGCACCTACGCATACCAGCCCGTGATGCCGACTCCGACTTCTATACTCCTGCCCCTGTAATCCTATGCTCCTATGCTCTCAAGCTCCAATACGCCTATACTCCTACTCTCCCATTCTGCTCCTACTACTGCTTCTACTTTCGCTGCTGCTGCTATCACAAGGACTGATACTACATCATTTTTCAAGCATCCCGAATGCAGGCTACCATGCGAAGTCAGGCCTCAAGTTCCAAAGCCGCCAACTGTGCAGCCGACGCTGCGTGTGCCTCGTCGGATTTGAGCCTGACAGGATTTAGCGGAGGTTGCGGGCAGGGAAGGATTCGTCTACTTTACAGCTTCTGGCACATGCGGGCTGAACGGGGAGAAGGCGACTGTCCGATTGCAGGTGCTGTAGACCATGGATGATGCTGGTCGTGCAGCAACGAGAATGACTTTCAGTGGCGTCAAAAACAACCACCACAGCGGCAATAGCCAGCTCTAAGATCCCAGTTCGGACTACCCGACGGCGTTTGAGCACGGAATGGATGAACTGCCGGCAGTCCTCACTCTGAAACAGAACGGCTTGGGCTTTGTACATTACGAAGTGAGCGTACCCCCGCTCGTAGCATAGTCCAACACCGACATATGTCATTCCCCTCCAAAGAGGTTCTTGCCGCAACTTACTATCGAAGCGTCAGTGTGAACAGGTGCCTCTCTACGTGTCTGTAGATGTCACTCAAAACACACAATTTCTACGATCTGATCCAGCACCGCGGCCTTCTGCAATGGTGTATCCAAACGTTTGCGTTTGGAAGGACATCAAACACAGATGAATGCGGAAAGGGTGAAAACACTGGCAGGCGCAGTGAATTCGAGATGTTGCATGAAGCGTGGCCACATTGGCACGCATAGAAAAGTGTGGCAGGCGTGGGTCAACAGGCATATTTGACAGACTTGTGTTTAAGTGCAACACTTGGTTGAAGACACAACATCCATATAGAAAAAGCAGGAATTCATCGGCCTGCGAGTGTTTCGTGGCATTGGCCAAAGTGTGGATTTTGAGCAGAGTCTGTCTGGCAGACGATAGCGCGGTGTGAAAAAAATGTGTTAAAGAAGTAGCCAAAAAATTGCTTTTAATTCTGATTTTAGGGGGTGACGTCCTTCCACTTCAGACTCTGGCATTCTTTCGGGTTTAAGGTTTAGGGTTGAGGTTGGGGGTTAAAGAGTTTAGGGTTTGCGGCTTAGGTGAAGGGTTCAGGATTTGGGCTTGAAGATGGCGGCTTTTTCTCGAGAACACTTGAGACGTCTTCACACACCTGCGGGGGCACGCTCTTGCCATGAGGACGCAAGTGGCAGTTGACCATCACAGAGGCTTTGCTGAGACTGCAGACTGCAATCGCTCGAAATATATATATATATATGTATATATATATGTATATATATATATATATCCTGGGGCATATGTGCCACAGAAATTTCACAAGAAGGGAAATTTTGAATCCACTGCTGGATGCAAAACCCGTGATTTTTTTTTTACAGCCGCACGGCACAGAAGCACACCCTGTCATAGGGATGTGCAGTACTGGTTCATAACCCCCCCCCACCCCCACCCCCCGCCCACCCCACACTGTCAAAGTAACATGCCGACACGGGACATGAAAAAAGAGCAGCGGAGCTCCAATGATCTGGCGGAAAAATTGCCTTCTCAGAGCCAGCCAAACAAAAACACCGACAAAACCGTGCTTTTCGCCTCTGGATGCGCAACAACATAGGTAAACACAATGCGCAGGAGCAGTCAAGAGGTGTAGAAAACACGTCAACACCATAGGATTGGACCTGCCCGAAAGAAAATGCTTTCAGAAAACAAGCAAAATCACCGCAAATACCGTGCGTTTCGCCTCTTGACACGCAAAAACCCACGCAAATAGACACATTTCAGCAAGGGAAAGCACGGAAACACGCCTGAACAGTCCGCAGGTGCAGAAAACACTGTAAATACCTGTACCATAGGATTCGGCACTTCTGCACGCAATAACCCGCCCCCCCCACCCCCCCCCCCACCCCAACCCCACCGCCGTGGAATAGCAGACCCTCCGCGGCGGCAAGAAGCGTACGTGCCAAAAACAAGGGTGTCAGGATAAAGTCCGCACTAGTAATTTTCGGAGTAGGATTCCCATGCGGCGAGAAGTGGGAGATGTGCAACCTTGCGGAGTTGTGCTTGAGGCTGTGACCTAAGCGATTACACTTCTGAGCCTGCCTTGCCGCCTCGGCGGCTGACAGCTGCTCCTACAAGAGTGCCGGGAGCATCCCAGCAGAAGACAAACTGTACGCGCACAAACTGGTTCACTAATGCACTGCTGCTGCAGCTGCTTTTTCTGGGAGGGCTTCCATCGTCCTCCAATGTGCGCACGCGCTCCCCCTGTTCTTGGAGGCGTTTGGCCTGAGCGGCACGCTCCGGTCAGCTTTTGCTACACGACGTGGTTCTGGAGCCTCCAGTCTTGCTTTCTCTGCTTCTTCGGCAGCTTGCTGCTTTGTCAAGGCCTGACAGCGCAAATCTCGAATAGAGTCCCTAATTCGCGAAACCGCCAAGCTTACGGGATGCCCCATGCCATGGCATTAATTAACATGCATTAACTATAATATGTAGTCACGTACTCGGCACTGCAGTGTGCACGATGGGTTTTTCAATATAAAGCGACAGTTTACCGTAACCGCAAGTACATTGCAAAGCTTGATGGCCCAATATCTGCTACATTTTTGGAGGCATGGTCTCGAGCCAGCACCCGGCACGATTGACGAAGCCCCACATAAGTCCAAAAAAAAGCCTAGAAATGAAGAGGTTGCGGTGGTGCTACTTGATCTGCACACCGCGGCAAGAAGGACTTGTGCTGGCTTCACCCCCAAGCCTGCAGTTGTGCTTCCTCTGCTTCTTTTGCAGCGTTCTGCTGCTCTGCTTGGGCCTGGCCACCGGCAACTGAAGGAACAAAATTGCGAGCCCAAAACGTCCCTATGGTCTCACTTCTGTAGGCCTGATTCTTGGCTTCTTCAGCCTGGCGGAGGACCTTAGCACAGTGGTTATCCCCCGCAAGGCCCGCGCCACGCTCGGAAACCGCGCCAAGCCACATCTTGAGTTTGGATAAGCTGGCCCTCTAGCTCAACAATTCGAGCCTGCCAGAATGAGCGGCATCACTGCACCCCTACACACGGCTGCATGAACAGGCATGGCATTGCCTGCAGCACGTCCACTGTGGCTTTCTCGTCACCGTTCGTCCCCTGGCCCCGCACGTGCACGTGGGGCGGTATGCTAAGTCGTGGGCTGAAACTTTGCCGATACTCTGTCCAAGAGCAGCTGCTGTCGCAGGAATGCTCAACGTCAAACAGTCCCGACCCTGCAACAAAATAAGTCGTGCGCATCGGCATCCTGGGCAAAGTCGTCAGCCATGTCGACCTGTGGACCGCCCGTATCCTCAGAGCATGATCTCAATGATGGCAACTCTACCTGTTGAGCCAAGACTCAAATTCAACCAACCTCTTCAGCAAATCATCCAACCGCTACCTTTGAGATGAGCTGCTCCCATCGTCAGGCCGGCATCTCCTTTGCAAAGATTGCCCACACAACTCTGAAGCAGCAGGGATCGCGAGAACAACAAACGTCACCATGCCCGTGAGTCGAGTGGCCCAGATCCAGCTCATTAGTCCAGCCATCCACGCCTCGTGTTGCTGACGTGCAAATCGATTTAGTGCTGCGTCGTACTATCGATACTATCGTGACGCACACCTACCCATCACTTCTCAACGTGCCTTCGTTTTCTGCCTCTGCACCAGGTCCAGCGTCAGGTTTCGCTGCCTGTGAACGCCACTGCAGGCGCGCTAATAGCAGAAGGTTGAATGCCAAGGCACGACAATTTGAACCTGGACTTTATTGCGCTCTTGACCAGAAGTAGCTCTTGAACTACCCTGTGCGAGAATGTCGCATTTTTTACACCAGAGCCACTGCGGCCACTTGTCGAATCGCAGCCAAGTCGCTGCTGTGGTAGGAGCAGCGGCCTCCATGTCAAAATCAAAATCGTCCCAACCATCCGCACCTTCGAGGTGTCAAAACGCAAACTGGAAGTTTAGGCTCGATCTTATGCATGTGTGAACCTGCAGCCCCGCATCAACACATCGTCTATATAGATACATGACTGAGGCAGCAGGCTACACTCGGTTGACATCTTAAATCAAAGCACTGTCCCATATTTTCAAGGATGCTAAACTATGGGACGCTATAACAGATCCTTCTGATTTGCCATCACCTTACCGTCCTTGGTCTCAATCTTGTCTGGCGATGACAGGCTAACCACGGCTATAAACTACTGCAACATACTACAACATGGTACTCCAGCTTCGGTGTTACAAACTTGTGTCCGACAGCTCATATCATTCGAAGATGGTTGTGTTGTATATCTCTGTTTTGTGTTCCTGCCCCAGATTACAGGCAAGACGGCACTAGGGTTAGCGTCCACAACTCTTGATAACAACAACAACAACAACAACAACGTAATAATGTCGTCACTGCAGCATTCTCCAAGCTTGGAAGTTTGCGCCCACTAATCATCAAAAGCCTCGTGCTTCGGCAGTTGAGGTCTTTTGACTTCACCGTGCTTGTTTTAAAGGTCTGTTGCTGATTTTTGCAGTGCCTCCGACAGTGGGCGCTGGGCCAGCCGCGACAGCCGCGACGCCGGTTGCAGGGGCCTCAGTTTTCCACTTGTGGCAAGGTGCCCCGCAGGCAAGCAACAATGCGCCTTATGATAAAGTATGATAAACTTCACAAGCCATGATTGAGTCAGTTGTGGCGGTGTGAGTGAAGGTCATCTACAATCATGTTTCATGTCCGAGCTACCTCGAGCTGCGCCAGCCTGGACCGCAGATGGGGCACCTGCCCAGCGGAGCAGCGGATGCCGTGAACATGATATGCGCGGCTGCTGACCAAAGGGGGCACGCTCTCCCGTCAGATTCCCGTCCGTCGGCCTCCGAAGCTTCGGACCGAAGCCGTTCCAACTGCTGCTGAAGCTCGGCCACGCCCGCAGCATCTTGCAAGGCAGCGGCCCGCTGTTCCTTGACACCGCAGGGACGCTGGCTCTCGCCCCTGTCACAAGCGTGCACGGCTCAGAGATCGTGCCTCCGCCTCGGCGATCTGCACCTTCAATGCTGGCACCTCATGCAACGACTACAAACTGCTTTGCCGCACTTGCGAACTTGCAATCAGCTCACGCTCCAGTCGCACGCTCATGTTGCTGAATCACACTCGGCATTTGCCCTGTGCATGCCACGCATATCTTGTGCATCGTGGATTGTCACTCGCTCTTTCACGGGTAAAGATTGGGTCGACAACCTTCCCTTTCGACCTATTAGATTATTAGATTGCTTCACGGGTAAAGATTGCGTCGACAACCTTCCCTTTCGACTCGCTGCGAACCTACTAGATTGCTTCATGATTCGGAGGATGTTAGATTGATACATGATTTGGAGGATGGTACAGGAGCAAAGCTTGCTGTTGAGCCACTGTGCATGATCAGGCTTCCACTGTGCCGTCCATGGCGACAATGCTAAGTTGGATGACAAACAAGAACGTTCCAGTGATTGATTATTGGGTCCTGAGGCTCTGAGATCGAGACCTCCATTGCTTCGGCTGTGAGTCTCTCGACTTCCAGCTGCAGCTTCTCGGCGGCTGCTTGCAATTCTGGCACCTGAACAGGCGTTCAGGTTCCCCTGGGCTGCAGCGATTTGGGCCCTGCAATCGGCCCAGCCTGGGCGATCTCGGACTTCAAACGGTTCACCTCCTCCTGCAGCTCCGCAGAACCAGCGGCATGTTGGGCGGCAGTTGCCCGTTGCGCCTTGCAACCGGTTTTTGCCGGCAGCGGCATAGCGATACTTGAGTATATGGTGTATACCCACGGCACCCACCTCGCTGTCGGCCAGCTTTGCTTGTGCCGCCGCCGCTTCTGCGTGCAGCCGCTGAACCTCTTGCTGAAGTTGCTCCGCCGACGCTTGTGCTTTCAGGGCGGACTCACGCTCCACCTGCAATCAAACTGCACAGCGTGCCAAGTAAGTTCGTGCTGCACTCTTGCTCGCCGTCCAGACTCGCGTCTCCCCACCTCGAGCTCTGCAAGCCTGCTCCGCATCTCATGCACCTGACACTGCGCTCACACGATCGCTCAGACTCGGGGAGGGGCGCACAGTATCTAAGGGTAGCCTGGTGTTCCATGTCTTCCGGAGGCGGAAACTATTTCTCGGGTGGCACGTGCGTTCTGAAGGCTGTGTGTGCTGATTCGGCCGGTGCAGGAAGGTGTTTAGCCCATTTTAGTAGACGCCCAAAAGTTGGAAACCGAAATGCCTCAATCCTGAAGGGTAATGTCGTAGGGAGGGGCGGATGGTTTCGTTGGCATCAACCCCCATCACCAACTTATGCTTGGTAAGGGCTGTGCTCCATTGGTGAAGCATGTCCTCGGTTTGCGGGGTGGCGGCATGATGTGGTATATGACCTGCCAGTGTTCGTAGTCTCTCTCTCTATCTCTCCCTCCTTCCCTCTCCCTGTGACATATTGTCTGTATACACATCCATCCATCCATCCATCCATCCATCTCCATCCATCCTCCCTCCATCCCTCCGTCCATCCATATCCGTGCCGTATTAGATGCTTAGCTACTTGTACATATATGCATACATGAACGCATACTGAAACCCACTCATATACCTGAACGCATACCAGAATAACTGCATACACGAAGACAAGACTGAATGCTGCTTGCTGCATCTTGGCGCGATGACAACTCGTCGACTTCTGATATGTTGACCAACGTCAGTGTCCGGCCCCATGCTGATCTTATCATTCAATCCGGATTTGGCCAACGTCCACCCTCAGCATTTTTCCAAAACTCCGAAGAAGTCGGACGACCTGCGCGGCTTCAGACTTGAGCTTCTCCAGTTCGGCGGG